GCGTGCGTGCGTGCGTGCGTGCGTGCGTGCGTGCGTGCGTGCGTGCGTGCGTGCGTGCGTGTGTTTCTGTGATGTAGCTTGCTTCTAGTATGCTTGTTTATCATAGCAACTCTTTAAAAGTGCTCCCTTTCATTCAGTAGTAGCCTAGTAACAGGGTGCGGGAGAATAATCACCTTTTTTCCGCTTCCCGCATATTTCACAACTGTTCGCATATTTCGCAACTTTCCGCAACTTTCCGCAACTTTCCGCATATTACGCAACTTCCCGCAATTTTCCCACATAAAATCACATAAAAACCCCGCATTTTTATCGCATAATCAATGATTTTAGCCCGCATAATTAAGGATTTTGGCCCGCGTTTTTCTGGAGGGTCTAGTTATATCACCCAACAGTAACACAAATCACAGCAGTGTACCAAACCCAAAATCTCCTCCCAGCTCACGGTTAACAACATATTTCAACAAGGAGAGAATTTATAAAGCACTATGAAAATAACCAGGGACTGTATCTTTGGGATACTACGAAAATGGCAAGAAACAATTTTTTACTTTTATCCAACAAGTGTGTGAAGAAGAATCCCAGCTTACTCTGAAGGGGGGGCTCTGCTGCTTGAAGCCACTGAGCTGGAGCTGGTGCTGGGCTCCTCCGCAATGGCGCCTCCGTCCAGAAACATGGTCACTGCCATCTCCAGGTTGTTGTTGCATGCTTCCAACATGTGTTGTCCTACACTCTCTGTTGCTCCTATAGCAGAGACGGACATAGGGTTACTGATGTAAAAAAAAACATTATGACTAACACTGTAATGATACATGTGTGTGAAAACTCACACTCTCCATGTGAGTCATGGAACAAATTATACAGGACAGAAGACTGTAGATCATCAGTAGAATATCTCATATTGAAATAATCTATATGGACTTTATTGATGTTGGCATGTTGTCGCTTGTTTCCAAAACCACATCAATAAAATACTGCTTACTTTATAAAATTGGAACAGTTTAAAAAAAATGTTTTGCCCTTAAGAGGGCGCGTGGATTCAATTATTTTTACTAAAAGATGCTGATGTATTGGCCCATATTTGTTTTTACTATAAGCTACGATATTTGTTTCAGATTCAATAATTTGCATTAAGGAATTGTGATTAAAATTCGTTGGATATAGACAACAGTTAGTTGTATAGTAATCGATTCAAAGTACCATGGTATTTAAAGTACCATGATTATGTATGCATGTTTTAACCAGTTTACTATATTACATAAACCTACTCCACTCTTTTGCATTCATTCATTAAGACAAATGCAAACGTGCAAACAACTGAGCCAGCTTTTTAAACACGTTGTTAATGTGAAAATCATGGTTTTTATCGATTTTGTGAACATTACGTCCTTTTTCAGTGTAAATACAAATTCAAGCTTTTCAACTATGGGGTCTTGTGAAATTAAACAACATTAGAACTTCATAAAGACATAACAACAAATCTGCAAGTTGATCGAAACACTGTACCACAATGAATGAAAGGCAACCCACTGCCTGAAAGGTTACAAAAATATGCATCCGGTCTTAACAAAAGCTATGGTAATCTTTAGGAAATAGCAGGCAGTGATATAGCTCAAGTGGGGCTACATGCATTGTAGGCTACCAATAGGCTACAAAAACACCAGAACTGTACTTAAATGTATCCAGATCATGATTCGACACAATGAAAAGAACAATGTAAGTATTTGCATGTGAGAAAACACTAGATCCGAGGTTAACTTTAGACTTTTTGTAAGTGAACAGCACCGTCGTTAGGCTGCACTCATCTCTCCGTGTGTACTGCGCATGTCCGTTTCACTTTCCAAGTGTAGCAGCACCAACCCCCGAACTGAGTCCCCTCTCTTTCCCGATTAATAACTTAAATCTAAAACACTGTCCATCCGGTCAAAGCACACATAAACTACTGAGGAAATGTGAACGAGTAATCGCATATGGACATATGAGCTTATACGAGTGTGGTTCGCATCACAGTGAGATGAAGAGTACACAACGTGAAGCCTGGCTGGTGATGAAGAAGGGAAATGTTGCACAGGCGACGTCCATTCCACATTATCACACAACATGCAGTAAAGAAGAACAGAACATCAGCTCTATGCTAGCGAAATAGTGTCTGTAAAAAACACCACAAAGACAAAAAGATATCTTGTAAGTGGCCATGGGAGATATTATTAAAATCGGGTGGTTTTATGCTTCCTTTTCTGCGTGTTTCGCTTGAGTTTAGCAGGTAACTGGCTGTGCTTTTTCCTCTCTGCACAGCATTGACAGCGCAGGGGCCATGGCAACACTTAACGGCCGTTTTCTTCTCTCCGCACTCATTTCCTGGTTCTTTGGGCAAAGGGGCTTTGCCTGTTAGATAACCAAAACCTTCTTGATAGATCAAACGTAAAATAAAATGTTATTTTTACCTGTTATTGCTGTGAATTGTTGTATTAACCCATTCACCCCCGGAGCTGAGGTGTTTCCGAGCGCCGCCATCTTACCGCCACAAACAACAACATAAATGTGGCGCATGCGCGACGCCGTCCTTTTCCCCTGCCTGGCGCGGCCCGGCGCGAGGCCGAAACGTCACTATAGGATTGTGGCATTGTGGGTTATGTAGTTAGTTAGGGTTGGATTTGTATGCACATAATCAGTAAGACGTGTTACTAACTTACTATAGAACATTTGCTAAATTATTTATTAAGAAATGTGATTATATTACCTACATTTTCTGATAATATATGGTTTTATATTTATACGGCACTGTTCGCTCAAGGTTTCAAGATGTCGTTGGAATTACAAGACAGACATTGAGACAGGCTTTCTCTCAGAGAGCCCATATAGATAAGAATAGTTTTAGAGGGAAAGATGAGGGCTTTCATCATTCAGTTTACTAAAACAAATTAAAAAGTACTCATCATGCAAAATGCCCGATTCCAGAGTAATCTTTTAATAGGGATTATAATTATTAATAGATTAATTTACATTACATTGCATTTAGCTAATCTTTTTATCCAAAGCGACTGACAATAAGTACATTTGACCAGGAAGATACAACCTTGAAGAAAACAGAATCATATAAGTAGGCTACATCAGGTATCACAGAGCCAAACATTTCAAGTGCTACTCAACTGGCTTTAGATAAGCCAGTCCTTGATTAGTATATAAGCTCTGTTAGCAGTTCTTTGTTAGTAATTCTATCGCTCGAAGTGGAGTCGAAAGAGATGAGTTTTCAGTCTGCGCCGGAAGATGTGCGATCTGCTGTCCTGATTTCAATCATTTACATTTGAAAGCATTATTTTGTTTAAAATGTTCATTAATGTGCACTGTCCCGGTTCAAATAAATGATTAAATAGAATAAATAAAAGGCCAGCATGTATGCTAACACTACCGTGTATGCTAACGCTAGCGTGAATGCTAACGCAAATGCTTGCGCGAATGCTAACGCATTTTCTCATTGTGTTTAAACATCTCCAAATGTCTTCACATGAACACACAGGGTTGGGTTGTAACGTAATACATGTAACGGCGTTACGTAATCAGAATACAAAAATCAAGTAACTGTATTCAGCTCGCGTTACATTTGAAAAACAAGTAGGGGAGAGCGGGGTAATGTGGGACACCGGGTAATGTGAGACACCCGCTGTAACTAGGCAAAGAAACAAATTTGCGGTCATGTGACCATAATGTTTTCAAGCCCCTCCCACCCCCCACTTGTCATGAAGGAGAAGTTGGTGCTGGTTCTGTGGTAAGTATTTTATTTCACAAAAATGTGTTTGTTGCATGTAAAAGTAAATTTTCTTACTGCGAACGTAATCAACTGTAGTATCAAAGCAAATTGATTCAGGTTGAAAAACTTATATCATACATGTTGATGAACTTCCAACATATAAAACCATGTGATTGATGCTAGTTAAAGATTAGCCTGAATTGCCTAGAGATGTTGTTTTTTCTAAAATTTAGAAAAAACAACATCTCTAGGCAATTCAGGCTAATCTTTAACTAGCATCAATCACATGGTTTTATATGTTGGAAGTTCATCAACATGTATGATATANCCCCTAGCGCCCCTATGGGCCGGCCGCCACTGATTGTAATGTATTTCACAAATGTCATTATAGATAACGGCAACCAGCTAACTATCCTCCTGGTATATTGCTACTATTCTTCTTGGGGTTCACACTTTGTAGTACATATTAATTCATTTTTTTTAATCTTATTGTACTACGGAAGTCAAACTCCTCTGATAGCACTATTCAACTTCTGACATACACCCAAAGGGGGTTGGAGTGTGTGTGTCTGTTGTGCTCAGCTGTTTACCATAAAGTGAATTTATTTCACTTTATAGCATATCATCTTGGCTAGTATCACTTATATTTATATAGTACTAAGTAAATCCTTAATTTGTTCGCATTGACCCCTAGTCCTCAGCAGGGTTATAAATAACCCTTATATTACTAACGCATTATATTTGAATGCATGTGGCTTCTACGGTTCCCTAACAAAATGTTAATTGGTATCCATCACATAAAATAATGGCCAGCTCTGTTACAGCATAGAGTTATTTTTGACACTCTTTGCTCGCTGGCCTGTGTGGATGATGGACAGCCTCTTTGGGACACTGAAGCTCTGTGCTGCTGCTCTGCTGTCTATTAGACCACAAGGTGACTGTTTTGATTCAGACTTGAGGTCTTGCCGACTCAGAACTGGGCGCGGCTGCTGGCTGCTCACAGATGATGTTTCACTTTGCTGAGGTGAAGTGAGTGGAAGTGACTCAGTGCAGTGTGTAAAGTGCGTAGTATGACGTCACGAATAAGCATCCACTGAGAGGGAGAGAGAGAGAGAGAGAGAGATAGTTTCAATCACTTAAGATATTTTTGCAAAGTGAGATCATTCTGGATGAAGCTTAGGATAAATCCCAAGCTTAGGTTTGGATAAAAAAGTAAAAATGTAAGTTGAAAATTCAAATATCTAAAGGTTTTCTATAAAAGTTCAATATGTTTTTCAGTTGGCATTGTAATGGCAGCCATGCAGGGCATTTCCTATAAGTAGCCCAAAGTCATTAAATATACTTATTGTTTTCTAATCTTTGTCTAAATATTTCTTTGCTTACAGATCAGAAAGAAATTGTACAGTAGCAACACACTTCACCACTGCTTAAATATAGCAAAGAAGAGTGAGTGAGATAAATAGTAAGAAGAGGAACATAGTAGCACACTCAAACTCTGAACAACAGTTTACTCCATCATGCTAAGTGCTTTTTTCACATCAGTGCGAGTAATACCCTTACTCTTATTAAGTTATTTTCTGTAAGTACTGCTTTAGTAAAGAAACTGAATTTCATATCTAAGACTCAACACATTTTATTTGCAGCCGAGGCTTCTAAGGATTTACAATCCTTTGTCTAAGAATTGTTCATATGCCATATATTAAGTATATACAGGAAATGGTTTTAGTCAAACTGGTTGGTATATAGATTATTTTGATATACAGTATGGTAAAATGACAACATTGTCTCTACATAGATATATTGAGCAGGTCAGCCCAGATTGTACTATGTTCGACAATATACATAGATCTACACAAAAATTAATGGAAAGGAAAATGTAGGATTCAAGCTATTTCCTTTTTCATCTACACATCTGCACATGTACAACGTACACGCATTGAAATTTACTCTCTGCATTTAACTCTTCCTCTTCGTATTAGGAGCAGTGGGCAGCTGCTATTGCCTTGTCTTGATCAGGGGCTCAGTGCCCAGGTGGCAAACTGGAACTTCTTGAAGCAATTTTCATAGTGGCCAAACGGTGGTACTCCCAACTTTTCTATCAGTCCGTGATGTAATTGAAGCCAAAAATACTTTTTCCCATTGACTACCATAGTTTAACATTGTCTATAAATCAGTTTTTTTAGGTGACCTAAAGCACTAGGTCCTAAAAGTTGTCAAAAGCGCCAAAGCCAATTATTTTACCTCACCATTCATTTGACTGAGCTGTGACTGGATGACTACATATTTGGAAGCGGGGATCTACGAAACGCAAGTGCGCATGCTCAATGGTCCCAAGTCCCCAGATAATCGGGTACTTTTTGAACCTCCAGTCAGAGTTGCCACTGAGCACATTTCAAAGGAATGAACGGGGGCCCCCGCTTCCAACGCTGTATCCAGTTCTCTTTTTTTTTTGGTCAACAAGTAACTATACGTTTATTTGATTTCTGTAAGGAATCAAAGTCCCTGGTGTCAGGATCCTGAATGTTATGATTGTCAGAAGTTCATTTAATTGACAGCTGATCATTAAATAAATCAATAGACATTTGGGAAGCCGAGCATGCGCCTCACAATTGTTAATATGCAGATGACTTATCAGCTTCAAAGCAGAGGTCATCGTAAATGCCCCCCAGGCAGGTGTGTGTGTGTGTGTGTGTGTGTGTGTGTGTGTGTGTGTGTGTGTGTGTGTGTGTGTGTGTGTGTGTGTGTGTGTGTGTGTGTGTGTGTGTGTGTGTGTGTGAGTGGCCGTGCCCCCTAAGGCGGAGCTGGATCTCTCAGTGTGCGGCTGATTCAAAGTGAATGGCAGCGTGCCGCGTGGCTCCATCGTGGCCAAATGACTTCTGACACCCCTCGCCTTGTTCCTTGACGTCTGAGGAGACAAGACGACACACACACACACACACAGGCTCAGAAGGGTC